AAGGAAATTATTAAAATATTATGCTACAACTATTGTACAACTATTAAACCTATTAATAAACAAATAATTAGTATAAAGAACTAGACAACACTAAAGTTACTAAGAAACATATTATGGCTAGTATAAAAACAGAAGGGAAACTTATGATTGTGGGGGCCGTCTGTCGGTACTACAATTTGTAAATTACCAGTTTATTGTACAATTTCAATTGATAGAAAAAATATTAAACTTAATGGGGGTAGGTGTAAAAAATTTTGAACTGCAATATAGAATTATTTTGCTAGGAAGTACAACGTTTCCCATTGGTTGGTAGCTCACGACACTATCTTATTAAGACTTTTATAAAGAACCTTACGGAAAAGAATAATTTAACACTATAATTACGATGAAATATACAAAATTGAAGACAAAATTTACAAATATTAGTTACTACAGCTACAACAACCTATACCCGACTGGGTCCCGACACCAACATTCCCTTGCGGGGCTAATAATTAGCAGACCGGGTTTAGCTACAGTCCCGCCTAGCCCCGAGGGGTAGGACAGGACTGGGAGTAGACACGGGAGGCCAGACCCTATTGGCGCTAACGTCCGCCGATTTTATTATTAAATAAAATGGTGACGCAGCTATACAGGCTGGACCACACCCCCCGTATTTAACTAATGTTAGGAAGAAGCGTCAATCCACTTACCTGTTCCCGGGTCCTGTGTACTGTTGTCCGGAACGTCTCCGCGCCGTAACAACTACACTAGATAGCACACTCTCACGATTTGGGTTCACAAATTGTACAGCACAACCAATTTGGATCCTCTGCGCACTGGTGGTCCCGGGCAGTTTTATGCCTATAAATGGCCATCCTTTTATATTTATTTCAGTACCCCATCTCGCGACCGCTATCGACGCGCCACTTTCGGGGGTCCCTTGATCTGTATGTTACCGTAGTGAAAGCGCTCCACGAATTGTTCCTATTGGTCTATTCACATTCTCTGATCTGATACACTAACATATTGCATATTAAATAATTTAAGATTATACATTTTTGTTACGTAATTACTTATTAACTATATTAATTCTATTTGTTCGATAAAACTATTTAAAATCAGTTTCGTCCTGCACATTACTCCCGCCGTGCGAGTCCGTCGCATTCTTCTCGGTGCAGGATGGTCTTCTTCGATGGGCAGGATCAGTAGTTTTCTTACTGGTCTCCGTAGAACTTGGTTTTGATGTCTACGGTGCGCCCCACGTTGTCGGGACCTGGATATATCGCTATTATTTCTCCCTCGCATGCGCGTGTTTCGTGGCAGGCATTTCCACTTTTCACGGCGACGCTTCGGCCATGAAGCTCCCGCCGGTGCTGCAGCTGCTATATTTACTTCACCCATTGGTTCTGTAGTTTCTGACGCCGATTCCGTCGGCCAGGGGTCCTCTCGTTGGCGTAGGAATTCTGGCCCTCTGAACCACCTATGTTCGTTGTGGTACGGCATTGGGACGTCTCGGGTCACGTCGTCGGCTGAGTTATGCTTCGTGGGTAACCATCGCCTCCCGTTTACTGTTGCACTGTCTTCTATAGTTGTCAGGCGTTGGGTGACGTAAGGTTTGTACGAGCGTGATCCCGTCCTTGTCCATCTCAACACTATCTTACTGTCGGTCCAGAAGGTCTTCGAGGTCGGCTTTCTTTCGTGTTTTCGACGAAAGTCTTTAGTTATGTGCACTGCATCTTTTAAAGTTTTGAAGTTATCCAAGTAGTCGTCTACGTAGTGTCTGTTCTGTACTGCGACTGCCGCCTCCGGGTGCGTGGCTTCTTGTTTCTGGGCGGTCAAGTTCTTTACATATATTGCTGTGGAAGGAGAACTTGACGCACCGAAGATCAACGAGGTCATTCTGTTTTCTTCTGGGGGCTTATCATCTCGCTGATCTTTGCGCCAGAGATAGCGGAGCGCGTCTCTGTCTTCATGTCTCAATTTCACTTTCATGAACATCTCCTTGATGTCTGCTGTTACTGCTATATTTTGCTGTCTAAATCGCATTATCACTCCTGGCAGTGATTGGAGTACGTCCGGTCCCTTAAGCAGCATATAATTTAAAGCTACCCCTCCTGTACTGGCGGCGGCATCGTGGACGACTCGGAGTTTTTCCGGCTTCAGGGGGTTCACGACGGCGAAGTGAGGTAGATACCACGTTCTGTTCTCTGTTTTTGTTTTTGGAGCGGGCTCGGCGTAGCCTTTTGCGACGAGTGCTTCCATCTGTTCTGTGTATTTCTGTTTCAGTTCCGGATTACGATCGAGTTTGTTTTCTATATTTATCAGTCGCTTTAACGAGTTATTGTAGTTGTCTGGTAGACTGACATTATCTGTTTTCCAGAGCAGAGCAGTTTCGTATCTTCCATCTGTTGTGTGGACTGTATTACTGTTGAGGATGCGAAGCGCCTGTTCCTCTGGGTCTGTTTTTGGTCTTCTTGGTGTGATGCATAGCGCATCCATAGCGAAATACTGTTTTACCAGATTTTCTATTTTATCATCTTCCTGGGTTTCGCTAGCATGATTTATGTAGTTTATATGGTGGCCTAGGGTACGAGTGCGACCTCCATGCAGTACCCAGCCTAGAGGTGTCAGTGACGCTATTGGCTGATTCCTGTTGCCTCGTCTAACTTTCGAAGCTAGTAACATGTGCCAGTTGTCTTGGCCAATCAGGATTCCAGGTTTCGCGTTCTTGTACGTGATGATGTCACTGATGTCTCGTAGGTGCGAATACTCATCTATCTGTTCCTTTGGTATTTTTTGTGATGTTACTTGTAGGTCGTTAACTGTTCTCGCTTGTATTATTTCTTTTCGACTGTTGAGGCCTCTGAGCGTGAGGTTGACTCTTCTTGACCTTGTTTCCGTTGATTTTATATTGTTAATCGCCTGTATGTGTAACGGATCGATTGGTCCTGTTATTCCAGTCTTCTTGCAAATAATTTCGTCTATCAGTGTTACCGTTGATCCATCGTCGAGCACTGCGTATGTATCAACCGTGCCTATTGGTCCTTGTACTTGGACTGGGATTATTTTCAAATAGGACTGTTTCTGTTTTCCGGTCCAAGCGGAATTAATGTTCTCTGTTGTTTCCTTGTCACTGTTTTCTGTTTTTTCAAATTTTCTGTCGAAGTGCAGCATCTTGTTGTGAGTGTATTTGCAGTCATTGATGCCACACGTCTTTGGTTTACAATTGTGGGTTTTATTCCTATACTTGAGACATCGGAAACACAGGTGTTTATTCTTAGCGATGTCCCATCTTGTGTTTGAGTCTGCCTTCTTGAATATGTAGCAGTCTGTTGTGGTGTGTTCGATGTTGCTACATACCGGACATTTAGCTCGTGATGGCTTCTCACTGACTATGTGCACGCTCTGTGTGCGTCTGTTATGCTGTGCGGGCTGTGAGTAGTACCCCGCCTGTTCAGGCTGTGCATAAGGGCTGCACAGTTCGGCTTCTCTTTTCATGAATTTTTCAAATTTAATCAGATCCGGATCCCCCTTCGGTTGTACCGCGGTGAAGTCGTAGTATCGGTAACGTAGTGTCGGTGTGAGTTTTTCTAATATTGTTTTGGTAGTTTCCGGATTATATAAGTAATGTGTGCACTTTAATGCACGAAGCGTAGCTACGGCGTTGGTCACCTTACTGGAGAATATACAAATGTCTCTTGGTGTTTCTGTTAGTCTTGGCAGAGCTCGTAGCGTGTCTAACTCCGTTATGGCTATCGTTTCCGGTCTTCCGAATCGCGCTTCTAGACTTCTTATGACGTCGGACGGATCAGCGTTCGTTATAAGTAATCCGTCAACGGCTTCCTTTGCCCTTCCTTTCAGGTTCCTTCTGAGTCTGTTTATATTTTCAGTTTTTGTAAAGGAATTCATTGTCTCTTGATAAGCTGCACGAAAGGATAGCCAGTCTTGGTGATTTCCATTAAAGATTGGCAATTCTGTGTATCTTGGTTCACGGGCGGCTTTGACGGCGAGTGTTATTGCTGCGGTTAGATCTGAGAAGTCTTGTTTGTCGCAGGCTCCCGCCGGTTTTTCTTTATGCTGGTCGTCATTTTCTGTTTTTGTGGGTTGGGTTTCCAACCATGTGCCCACTCTTTCATCGAGTTCTGACTTACTGTATTCTGATTCGCTGTTTTCGTCATCAGATCCAGCTTCGAGCGTGGCCAGTCGGGCGGCTGCCAATTCCACCTGACGGCGGGCGAGCTTTTCTCTAGCTTTGGCTATCTTCTGTTCTTTTCTGTTTCGCGACCGGTCAGTTTTGACTGTACCGGCGCGCTGTTTTGTTGGCACGTCATTCTGTTTGGCTATATACTGTTTGACGGCCTCTGTTTTTGAGTTCCCAGGTTTCTCTGCGACTTTCATTGTGGCTTCCATGTTGGCTGTTGCACACGATGATTCTGTTGTGGGGGCTACCAGACTCATGACGGTATTCGCGGTTGTTTCTGTCCATACGCTCTGTGTTGTAGCTGTGGTTTCTGAGGGCGGCGACTGTTCAGTTTCGATCCGTCCTCTTTCTGTTGACCGCGTTATCGGCATTGTTCCAGGTACCTTTTTTCAAAATGTATCCTTTACCCGCGGCCCGAAAGAATAATGAAATTGTCTTCGATCCGGCTCGAATGGACCATGAAATGTACACGACCCGGTCTGTAGGGCTGTTTCCGAGTCGTGTAATAATGGTTTTTGCTGTCTGTTTGTGCGCTGGTAGAAGACGGCTGTTTCTTTCGATGGGTTTCGGCTTCTGTAGCGAAGTTTCACAGGTAACTGTCTGGTTCACTGGTAGCTGATTCACTGGTGGTTTTCTGATAACTGTACTATTGGAGAACTGCTGGTAACTGTTTCTGTCTTGCTGATGTTTCTTTGTCGGAGAGCTTCTGAGAACTGTTTCTGTCTTGCTGATGTTTGCTTCGAGAACTGTTTCTGTCTTGAACTGTTTCTGTCTGGATGATCGCTGAGAACTTTTGTTTCTTGATGTTTCTATGTCGGAGATTCGCTGAGAACTGTTTCTGTCTTGATGATCTGCTGAGAACTGTTTCTGTCTTGATGATCTGCTGAGAACTGTTTCTGTCGAAGATCCACTGGGAACTGTTTTTGCCTATAAATGGCCATCCTTTTATATTTATTTCAGTACCCATCTCGCGACGCGCTATCGACGCGCCACTTTCGGGGGTCCCTTGATCTGTATGTTACCGTAGTGAAAGCGCTCCACGAATTGTTCCTATTGGTCTATTCACATTCTCTGATCTGATACACTAACATATTGCATATTAAATAATTTAAGATTATACATTTTTGTTACGTAATTACTTATAACTATATTAATTCTATTTGTTCTGATAAAACTATTTAAAATCAGTTTCGTCCTGCACACTACATAAGAAAGAGTACGAGCATCTCGTTATCTCTTTCGAGCATCCACAAACAGTGGCAGTTAATATGTAGTAAACAACAATAGATTATTTAAATTGTGTCCGTTTTATATTATATTACTAGCTGTACCCCTCCGCTTCGCTGGGCATTTAAAATTAACATTATTACTTCTCACTCCTACAAAGATTCTCATCATTAACGTCCCCGCAACTGGTGTAGGGAGTCGAACACGCATATAAATTTATCCATCTAAGTAAGTTATTTTCTACATGGATACCAAATTTCAAGTCAATCGGATGCATGGTTCAGTAGTTATAACGGAACATCCGTAAAAACCACTGTAGATTTATATATTAGTATAGATTTAAAACCCAAACGTAATTCCTTTAATAGCCGCAGATAATTATTTTTTTAAGTTTCTAATCGTCCTGAGGGAGCGAGTCGAAAAACGCGAAGCAGAAAAACTGGTGAAACACGTCATCAAATCAGCAGTTAAGCTGGGAGTGTTACGGCGACACTCGCAGCTGTCCGCAGCGGACGACCGAGCCCTTGAAGCTTTCAGATCCAAATTCCACGTAAGCTAAATGTATACATATATAGACAGAACAAACTCAACAACGAGTATACTTAAAATTTATAAATTTTCTTATATTTGCTTTTCTTTGTTCACTTTCTAAATAGATGTGATTTTGATTGTGGAAGCTTATTTGGTTTTTTGTTTTAGTTATATTAGAAATGTTTGTTTTGTACTTTAGTTTCCCAAATGCATATGTATTATTCGATTTTATTTCATAAATAGGAAACTTGTGTTTTCTAAATTTTGCAGGCGCATTTAAAAGAATGTATGTATTGAGTACCACTGAAATGCTCTTTCGAGTGTTAAGACATAAGGTCGCGTTTGCTTTGATCAATAACTGTCCTACCATACGAACCGGAACAAATGGTCGCTTTAGGTTTTTTTATTGTACATAGGTGTTATATTACATTCCTTTACAATTGAATATGCAATTTCGAAAAGGGCACATGTCGCATATTTTGTTAAATACGTTTTTTCATATTCATATAGTTTTGAGGCTTACCTACACCCATTTTATAATAATTCCAGTAATTTTCAATTGCTAATTAACACTAAAATATATAGCTCAAAAGTTAATATTTTAAATTTTACACTGCTTTAGAAAATAATCTGTTTTTTTCATTTCCTGAACATTTTACATTTTCAGGGATTTGCCCTTTTCGAAATTGCATATTCAATTAAAATCACGTGCCAATCACATTAGAATCTGAAAACTTAAACTAAATTGGAATGTTTTTGAGTTTAGACATAAAACAGGTATCGAAGTTTATGTTGTAACTATTTCAGACCGTGTTGATGGCGGTGGTGTCTTTCTGTGAAGTGGAATTTTCGTACGACCGCGGCTTCCTGCAGGACGCGCTGCGCGATTCACACCAGTCGCTCAAGTAAGCTGTTCTATTTCATGTGCAGCTTAAAACTTATAAATACACGTGTTGTTTGTTTTCTACTGGTAGTAGGACCTCTGAGTCCGCGGGTAGGTACCACCGCCCTGCCTATTTCTGCCGTGAAGCAGTAACGCGTTTCGGTTTGAAGGGTGGGGCAGCCGTTGTAACTATACTTGAGACCTTAGAACTTATATCTCAAGGTGGGTGGCACATTTACGTCGTAGATGTCTATGGGCGCTCCAGTAACCACTTAACACCAAGGTGGGCTGTGAGTTCGTCCACCCATCTAGCAACTAAAAAAAAAAAAAAAAAACGACGCCACTAAATTCGGTTAGGATCGACTTTAAATGAACTCGGCTGATCCAATATTTAATGTTAAGAACGACATTATTTATATATTTACTAGCTGACCCGCAGACTTCGTAGTGCCTCAATCGATAAATAAAAGACTTATACTTTTGTATAAAATAAATTTAAAACAAATAAAAGGAATCCTTCCGACGGGGGCCAAAAATTGTTATTTTTGTTTAATTCAGAGCATTTTCATATTTATCTATCTTTTAAACGCTTCTCTGACTTCCACAAATTAATTCAAGACGCAAAATTAAGCCAATCGGTCGGTCCAGCCGTTCTCGAGTTTGAGTGAGACTAACGAACAGCAATTTATTATTATATTATTAATTTAGATTAGATTTAGCTGACTTAACCTAATAGGTGTATAAAAAATAAAAAATAAATTTTTTTTTGTTACAAACAACTGTAGCTGTATTCGATGAGAATAATTGATTTTTACGAATGCCGTGCTTCATATATTTACTGTTGGTTTCCCATAGAAAGAAAGAAAGAAATACCGTCAATATTAATTATCTCGCGTATTATTTCCAGGTCGGTTGTAGAACGTCACCTCTCAGACAAGTCTGTGTCCAGGCTCGCTGGAGTGTTCGCTCTCGCATCCCGAGGTGAGTTGCTCGATTCGCTCTTCTCCGGCCAAGTTGACGAGGACGTCCTCAAACTGTCGAGGATGCTACGCAAGGAACTCGATCGGGGCCTGCTTTAATCCAACTGATGTGGAAGTCGTGTGCCGTCCTACTCCAAACCGCAGTGTGCTTAGAACGAGATTTTTTTTAACTTTCTCGATAGCGTATAAGTTAACGCAAATATGTATGGCATTGGAACAGCGCCTCTAGCGACAAACGTAGGCAAACGTTCCAACCCCATATGAACTTGAGTCAAGGGCGGATCCAGCTTTGGCGCCAGGACGGGGTCACATAGTCAAATTTATATGCGTTCGTTCCCAGACGTTTGCCATTATACAAAGTTATTATATTATATTAAATTAATTAAATATTGAAGGTATGTACATAGTTACATAAAAACTGTATGGTTACAAAATATATGAACAAAATCATTATATTCAATTAGTGGTCCCCCTAAGTCCTGGAACCAGCTCAGGGGGTGGTCATGACCCCCATGACGCCCCCCTGGATCCGCCATTGACTTGAGTTAGTTAACTTTCACGCTATCGAGAACTTTAAAAAGCTCGCACACAGGTGTAGATACCAACGTTACTTGTGAGGCCAGCGTCGCATCAACATTTGGGCCAATCTTGAGGCACTGACAATGGGATCACTTGCAACAGACATCGTCTATCATTTCACAAATGGAGATTTCACTTTCTTTTCTTAAATAATTTTTGTCACTTGTAGATTGTGTATACCGAAATTTATTACGGTGTGAAGCTTTAATGAATACGCGTTTCCATGACGTAGCTGTGAAATGTAAAATTGAAAAAAAAAAAGATCAT